TAGCATTCTGTTAATAAAAATTTGTAACAAACCCTGTACAATCCGATTTTTACATATTTGACTATCCAGCAATCTAAGTGTATGTTATTTGAAATCTATTCTATGTTTAGCCAGGTCCTCGTGTGCTACTATACAATACCGGGGGACCTGAACACGTCGTGGGAGCTCAGTCCGTCGCACATTGACCCTCATATTTGTACGCATATTATCGTGGGTTTTGCGAGCGTGGTGAACAATACGCTCGACATAGGCGACGATGCGCCGGTTTATGAGCGAGTAGTGGCTTTAAAGAATCTCGAACCTAACTTGAAGGTCATGATCAGCGCCGGCGGAAACAATGAGCTCCATAATGGTTTCTCCGAGATGGTAAAAAATCACGCGAATAGAAAAAAGTATGTCCACCATGCTGCTTTCCATTCTTATGTGTGATACATATTCTAGATATACAAATATTATAAACATGTCCCTATGTTCAGGTTTATCCAGTCAGTATTAAACATTACCAAAACCTTCCATTTGGATGGCTTTGACGTTGACTGGGAGTTTCCAGCCTGGTTAGGTGCGGATGAGCGTGAAAAAATACACTTTGCGCAATTATTACAAGAATTACGAAAAGAATTTGATCGTAGTGGACAAAAATTGATTTTAACAGTAGCAGTTGCAGCGCCACAGGCCATTGTGGATCAGAGTTATAGTATTCCTGAAATGGCAGAGTATGTACTGTACAAGAATATAATAATTATCTAGAATATCATAAAATAATATTACAAATTGTGTCATATTTTTCAGGCACATTGACTTTATAAATCTCATGTCATATGATTATCATTTTTACGTTTGGTACTTCCCGGTAACAGATCTGAATGCCCCACTCTTTCCTCGTTGTACAGAAACAGGCTATTTATCCACATTAAATGTGAATTTCTCTGCTCAATACTGGATAGCGAAGGGAATGCCACGTGAGAAAATTGTTATTGGTATACCGGCTTATGGTCACACATACAAACTGGACAATCCAATGAATCATGGTTTACAAGCTCCGGCTAGCGGATTCGGAAAGCTTGGCGTAAAAGGCTTTGTGTCTTATCCTACGATTTGTCAATTTTTAAAATCCGGAGCTGAGAGCGTTTTTAATAAAGAAAGTCATGTGCCATATGCGTTCAAAGACAGGGAATGGATATCTTACGACAATGAGGAAAGCGTTTCTTACAAGGTAACGCGTTTTATATTGTTAACACAACATCAAGCATTCAGCAGATTTGTAAAATCTATCTGTAATGTGTAATGTAACATATAATGATATAAGCTCAATTGAAATGTTTGCATTGTAGAGTATGTGGATTCGTACCAATGGTTTTAAGGGAGCCATGATTCTATCTTTAAACGTTGATGATTGGAACGGCACGTGTTATGGTACAAATGAGACATTTCCTTTGACACGTACCATCTCGAAAGTATTATTTAAGGAGTCAGACAAGTAATAAAATAGGAATACTTTAAATACATACAATCAATGATATAATTATTATTATAAAGCTTAAGACATTTTACATTAAAATGATCCATTCCATCGCATTCCTATTTAATATTACGTGATGTACACTCTACCTCAGTTGCTCAAAGATTCTTTTGTACAACTAAGTTGCTAAAATATTTCAAGCACAGTATTATATGCTGTAATAGGGCATAGCACTTGTACCTGGTTGAGTCGAATAAAAAATATATACGCGCGTTAAATTGTATATTACATAAAAATATACGCGCGCGCGTTTCCTACATATTGTTTATTGCTTCACAAGCAAATGGTATTCGCGAAATAATTTTAAGATATTCTCTATTAAATAATTTTAAAAGGAGACATAACAGCAATGATGAAAAATATAACTATTTCGAAAATGTTATATATTATCCATAATAAATAAGCGTACAACAGTCGTCCGTTTCAGAATAAGACTTTAAATTCGCAAATAGTCAATTTTATTTTTTTAAGTACTGCGTATATAGATAAGATAATTATTATTATAATTATTCAAACCATGTTAACTGATCTCGTTATACCAATGTCATAAAGTATGAAATATATGAAACTGTTTTACCCGAAATTTAAAAACAATTGCATTGCCAATTTTTATTTCTTTATAATAATACATACATTCCTTTATATGAATATTTACATTGATAATTATATACATTTAACATATGTACTTTTTTTATTTAATTACGATAACAATAATATCCAACTGAAACTTTTTCCCATGTAGTTAGAGTATTTAATATTAAAAGAACAACAAAAAGTAACAACAAACTCTTTTATAAATATCTTCTAACAAAATATACGATACAAGGATAGATGAGAGGGCTATGAACAATGTCGAAATAAATTAGCTTTCTCTTATGATACGCATTTCATAGCGTATTTTGATAATTTATTGCATTACATCCAAAGATATTTACGATTCGATGAGCGATTAAAAAAACGATAGAAAGATGTTTATGAATGTACTATCAACGTCGCTGCACATTTTCTTGATTTCATCACTTATAAAACGCATGTGTATGTAAACAAAAAGTTTTTAAATATAATTTCTCCGGTATTGTAGATAAGACAGATACGACAGATAACTTTTTCGTGAGATGTATGTAATGGTATTTAATGTCCTTATCGGCAGTATGCACTGCCCGAAACCTCATCTCAGGATTTACCACCGAAACCTCCCATTAAATTTCCCAATCCACCTGCCGCGCCCTGTTGTAACTGTTTCATTATATTTTGCAATCCTGGCATACCACCTAAAATAATTATAGTAAAGATACACCGTGTTTTTAAAAAATGGTCGAAAGTGAAAAGTTTGAAATAAATTAAGAAACAATACGAAAAGCATTATAATATAATGAGACTGTCCGTATTTTTAAGATATATTACAGCGAATGAAATACTTTAATTTTAATAACAAAATTTATGAAGAACTCTCTTGCATAAAATTGTGCTTAAATCATTAAAATAAGATTTCAATTTGTACAAAATTGCTCACCCATTTGATGTAATACACGTGGATCCATCATTTTAGCCATTTGATGATTCAGTTTTGCCATTTGTGTAGGATTAACGTTTTTCGCCATATCTCCCGCCTTGAACAAACCCTTTATGCCTCCCATTTTCTTAACAACCGCTGCGAATTTTGTATATTGCGTAATTAAATCTTTGACCTCTTTTTCCGTCACACCAGAACCCCTTGCCACTCTCATTATCCTTCCAGGTTGTTTACTGAATAACTTGGCTCCATCTCTACTGTCCAGCTCTGAAATAAAGACGTAAATATTACTGAGAAATTAGATAAATTTTCATGAAAAAAATATAAAGGAAACATTTTAAACAAACCTGAATCGTTCATACTGTCCATAATAGTCATGAGTCGTTTTAATCTTGCCATTGATTCTTGCTCTGTCCCTTTGGACATGAAGTCTTGACTAAATCCAGGAATCATATTCTACATACAATAAAATTTTAAAAGAATATTTTACATTAGTTTTACACACGTGTGTGTGTGTGTGTGTGTGGGGGGGGGGGGCGTGCGCGTGTGCGTACACAGGGTATTTGGAAATTAGTGATAAGTCTTTCGGAACAGAAAACTGTGGACTAAACTGAGAAAAAAAGTTCTCTACCACTTTGCAATTTTCGCAATAGTTAACAAGATATTAATTGCTAAAAATTGCCAAAAATTGGTCTTCAATAATTTTTTACTCAAATACTATCAACTTTACAGAAAAACTGTAAGAGACAAAAATTGTTTATTCTCTTCTCAGAACTCTAAGAATTCTTTTAGAATTTTTTAATACCGTATTTTCTCATATTGGTAAAAATGAGAAAATGTAGTGCTAAAAAGTTGAGCTAAAAAATTCTGAAAAAATTTGTAGAGTTCTACAAGAACAAAATAAACAATCTTTATCTTTTGCAGTTTTTCTGTAAAATTGATAGGATTTGAGTAAAAAATTATTTAAGACCAAAAAATTGGGCACGTTAATCCTACACGCACGCACGCGCGTTATTTTTTAATATTATTTACCATTAGTTGTGAAAATGGTCCCATCTTCATGATATTTTGAAACTGTTCATACATATCTCGTAAAGTAAATTGACCATGTTTGATCTTTTCAAGTAATTCTTCGTTATCGTCCAAGTTGAGTTCATTTACTTTGTCAATAAGACCTTCAATATCTCCCATACCTAGCAACTTGCTAATGAATGGTTTCGTTTTAAATGGTTCTAGGTCGTCTATATGTTCTCCTGTACCAACAAATATTACAGGACTTTGTGTCGCTGCAACACTGAAAAAAAAAAAAATATATATATATAACATTATATATATGTGTATATAATATTATATTAATTATATGAAATTGTTTATGCTAGAAGTATAATGAAATAACTTCACTGTTTAGTTTGCATAAACATATTATAAAAAACAAGAAGTATATAAAAGTGTTAAAATAAAAATTAGAAAAAAAGAACTTACGCTGAAAGTGCTCCACCACCTTTAGCGTGGCCATCTAACTTTGTGATTATGATGGAACCAACGTTAACGCGTTCTTTAAAAGCTTTTGCCTGTGCTTCACACGCTTGACCTATCGTTGCATCCATTACAAAAATTATATTGTCTGGTTGCTGGAATATGCAGACTTAGGATTAAAAAAATTTCTTTTCTCTATGCATTATTTTTTGAAAAAGTGCTATAATTTTACCACAGCATTGGCGACTTGTAACATTTCCTCGAATAATGACTCTTCCTGTTTATGCCTTCCACTTGTATCTACAATAATAATCTCGTATCCTTCCTTCTTGAACATGTCTACACCATCTTGTGCAATTGTTACAGGATCTACTTCTGTATAACTAAATTTAGAAATTGTTAGCATAACACAATAATCTGTAGTAGCATAATAACGTAGGTTGCAATAAATATTTTCTGTTCTTTATTTACCTTCCATAAAATGGTATTCTAGCTTTTGTGGCATTCTGCTTTATCTGATCGTATGCACCAGCACGAAAAGTATCGGCGCATACTAAGCACGCCTTCCAATTTTTCTTAAGATAATGATACGCCAGTTTGGTACAAGTTGTTGTTTTACCTGACCCTTGTAAACCAACAAACATAATTATGTTAGGACGGCCTTTTACTGGTTGATAAGCTTTGACACCAGGATCAATCAACTAAAAAAGAATCGTCGGTTAAAACAACTGTCAGTATATTTACAAATACTGAGGAATACACTTTTAACATTATAAGTTTTTGTAAGAAATCAAATGATATACCAACCTTTACGAGCTCTTTGAAAACTGCACTCTGTATCATCCTCCTTTTATTAATACCACCAGCCATATCATCAAAATCGATAACTTTACGTACATTTTCTCGTAATTTTTTCACTAATCTAATATTTACATCAGCTTCAAGTAATGCTGCACATATCTCTTTCAGCATAGAATTTAAAACCTGTCGAAATATTAGTGTTAATTGATAAAGCTGTATGATACAAATCTAATGTGCTTTCCATTTAATAGCACAAATCAACACAAGTATCATTCTATCTTTTTTCATATTTAAAATATATATTTGTTCCACTTCAACTTATTGCACTATGCACCAGTTTAGAAAGTGTAGAAATAAAAAAAAAATAGGCCTTCTGTGAGTAACAAAGATAGACTGACACTTTTGTCAACTTGTGTCATTGAAATGAAAAACATCCAGTTATATTTAAAAAAAAACAGAATATAATATAAACACTACAATATATAAGAAATCAAGAGTTCTAATCAAATTATTTCTGAAAAATCAATAAAAGGACAATCCTCTAAAATTCATTGTGTCTCTTGATTACAGTATTGTCGACGTTCTCGAACAAATGGAAAATTCAAGCTATGATGTAAACATAAGTTCGACACGTACAACAATATTGTTAGAAATAAATGGAAATTTTCAAGCGCGCTGTCTAAAGATAAGAGAAATAACGTCGAATACGTATAGAGAGGTACGGAATCGTATCATTCTGTTTTTTTTGTTTTTTTTTTGTTTACAAATCATCCTTGAGGAAGTCGTTTCACGCGTTATTGCGGATAGGCTGATAAATAAACTCACTTCTTCGTTGATGACGGTCGCATTGCTGAGCGACCGCAGAGCGGACGTAATCTTACGTCCGAGATCCGCCAACACCATGTTTGGACGTTTACGCGTTCACGTCCAGTCGCAAAAATAATTATGTACTCCGATTAGCGGTTAGGATGTTAATGTATAAAGTCTGTCATCATGTCCCGACTTGGCCAACACAGCATGACGACACATCCGGTCGCGAGATTCGCGAGAACTAAGATACGCGTAGAAGCGACAAACGTGTTCCGATTTTCTCGTGCGATGCGAGTACCTTGATTGTGACTTATCTCCCATTCGCCGTCAATCAGAAGATGCATACGATCTGTTTATATCTGTTTATATATGACCGACGAGATCTCGTATGTTGCCACCGTCCATATCGATTAGATGCACTCGGCGCGATCTGGCGCGATCTACATATATCCCTCCAACTCGCGTTTCCAAGTCAGTCACTTCCGGATACGCGAAATAAATACCTGCTGCACATCGGACGCGATGAAGCGATCTCCAATGAAAGCTCTGCTTTTTCTCACGTGACGAAGCAAAGCAGAGCTCTGTATGGCAGCGCCAGCAGGTATAAATTTAATGGGAAGCGCGCATACGTGTAATTATCCAATGTGGGTAAGTTTATTTTTCCTACAAAAATTACAATTGTAATGGAACAAGAGAAAACCAAAATCCACCAAAATTACTTTTCTCCAAGAGATTAAGGCTTAAATCAGGTTGTAATGCTGTTGAAGAATAACGTAATCTATACCATTCGGTATTTTTTACTCGCACGTATATAAAACATTTTTATTTGATAAATATTAAAACATCACACATTTATAAAAAAAAAAATTGCAAATTTTACTTCTTTTATTGAATTAGGAAATACGAGAAAATAAAACAAATTGTATAAGGATGATAGATTTGCATAAAGCTGTTAACGCAATAAATTTATTTATAATTATTCTAAATCTTAATAGAGTATATTAAAGTCTTAGGTTTATTCGCATCGCTTGTATACAGAGGAACTTAAGATTTATGATTTTTTAAATATAATTTTGTTGCAAAAGACCACATTGCATTAATTAATCAGGAAATTAGTTTTACAATTTCCTCTTTTATGATTTTATTATTATTAATCATACTGGAGATAAAGTCACTTTATTCTTTTAAAACAACGCAACATAGCAATAATATACATAAGTCAATAAAAAAGAAACAGGAGAGTCCTATAAAAATTTGAATATATTTATCTAATTTACATCTGATCTCTCATCACCTTCAAATTTCTTTCTAATTTTATATAGCGATTCCACTGCTTTCATAATGCACTCTGGAATCTTTGTCTGAAAGCACCTTTTACGATTCACTCTGAATGTCCTTAATTACATCCAAGTTTTAAATTCTTGCATCTTCACGCGAGCACCTCAAAATGTTGCAATTAAAAAAAATCTGCGTTTATTGGCTGACTGGCAGAAACAAATTCTTGGTGCATGATCTTCTTAATTGTTGAAAAAACAATTAAGATTCTTGTTATTTTTCACAATAAAATTGAAACTCAAGAAGCGGCGTTTCGATCAAGAATCAAGAATATTCCAGGCTAAATCACAAAAGATGTTTAACATAATTTGAGATAAAGATTTCTAAAGGACGTTTGAGGCATGATGAAAGTAATGAGATCAATGTACACTACTTTGAAGGGAATGTGGATTCCAAATATAAATTATGTAAATATTCAAATTTTTATAAGTCTGATTTCTTTTTGATTAACTCGTATGTGTGTGTATATGTGTGTATGTGTACATGTGTTATATATTATACATATGTTGAAAATGAGGTACAGGTCATTGACTTTGCAGAAATAACGCAATGTCGAATGTGATAGTGAAATCTTATCTTCTCATACCTAGATGGACATGGCAGTTGAAAGAGAGACACGCATATAAATTTGCTTTTTCCAGTTAACGCGCATACAGTTTCAATTTTTTACAGCTAAAGTGCCATTTCCAGGTGCTACTGACATTTCACCTCCTTGTGTACTGTCCCGTTGAGGACTCTATCATGACAAAAACATTTTTAAATAGAACGATAAGCAAGATATTTTTTGATGAAGTTTATATAGTTGATATACTAACAATGAGAAAACATAATTGCAAAAAAAGTATACTTCACCTTCACGTGAATATGCTGTTTTAACATCGCAGCTCTTAAGATCAACATACGAGTACGCCTCTGATAATCTTTTCCAACACTCATAGATTTTTCAAAAGTAGTGCTACGTTGATCGACATCTTTTGCGTATAAAATCTGTAATAATTATATCAATTGCACAATTAAATCTATATACTTCCTAATAATTGATTACAATACATACTCTCACATAATTTATAAATATCTAAAGATACCTATGCATAGGAGCATCAAGCGTTAGATCATGTGTACAATGATATATTTATTAAATAAATAATAATTTTACTGAAATGCATTGAATTTAATGCGCACTGCTAGGGGTGGAATATAATGTAAATAAATTGAATTTTTAGTATTATATATATTACGACAATATATATCAGAACATAACCATTGTTAATTTATCTTTTGCATTAAGAAGCTGAAATTTTAGAAGATTTATAATCATGCGCAATGCTCAAGTTTCTGGATAGATACTTGATGCTCCCATGTAATGGTACTTTGAGAAAAATAAAATGTTATATGTAAATCAAGTGCAGCCTCTCACCTTGTTGTGTGAATCTATACGAGCCTGAATCTGACCGTCGAGAATAAGTTGCATGAGTTCGTCTTCTAATTCAGATACAGTTCTATTGAATGCGGTCGCCATTCTTCTCATGTCTGCACTTAAGTAAGGACTAAAATATTGTATCAAGGCTCTATTTCGAATTTGTGTATACAACAGGTTTACATGAGGTGCTATGTACATATCCAAGAGAATATTATCCTTTATCTCATCGAGCAATTTCAAACAGGATGCATATTTTGATTCATAAAATTTGAAAATTATATCTCGGAGTTGTGGTTCTAATTCTAGAAATAATTTGAAGGAACTACTAAATATAACTTGTTTTTGTAATTCGTGTCTATCAAAAGTTGCTAAAGCACAAAGTCCTCCATAAAGAGCTACATTTCCAGGGGACAGCAATTCAGGGCAGTCGCAATGATCTAAAGACGCTTGTAAAAAATGTTTTGCGGCCATTTTATATTTTCTTGTTGCCAATTCTGCCAAGCCCGCTGCCACTTTTAACTTTGTGACTATCGCTTGATTGTTGTCTTTACCGTGCAGTTCTGGAAAGTCTGGTGTACTTTCAGCCTTGGTGACATAACTAAGTACATGAGACCAATTTTGTAGATAAACAGAAACTTTGATTACATTCAAACACATGTTCACAACATGCTTGCCGCTAGTACAGTAATCCCTTGCTCTAGAGTAACATTTTAAAGCATGAACGAGATCGCCACAATTCAAGTAGTGATCTCCCAAATCATCGTGACCTCTTCGTATGCTCTCCTTGATAGAGTTGCTCTTGTAATTTTTCAAATCAGTATCGAACTTTTCTAATTTAAGAGCAGCCTTCTTAGATCGAGTCTCTACCCATGTCTGATCCAGTGTTGGCATATCCTGAGAGGTTGACTGTGCCGCTATATCTGGTAATCCAGGAGTATAGCCCATAGCTTCCACAAGCTTTTTATGCAACATTATATAAAGTCCAACGTTGTATGTAGTCATCACATAAGTAATTGCCATCTTTAATGCTTCTATTCGTAACGATGGACAATGATCAGCGATATATATAAGCCTGTGTAGTTTTGCGAGTCCAGTATAGCTATTGGCATATACTTCCAAGTCCTGATGAAACAGTAAGAAAACAATCATAGAATAAAATTGAATTTCTATGATTAACAAATATAGAATTGTTTTTATATTGAAAACCGATCTTTATACGTACTAGCGTCGGGTTTTCTACTATATATGGTTCTTCTTCAGCATTATCATTATCCTCTGTAGGAGCATCAACCTGCATTGGCTCCACGACATTTTGCTGCAAATAATAAGATAAAAGATAAACTATTCAGCTTACGGGAGTATTTCAATCGAGAGGAATGAAGAAACGACAAAGAGATACGTGCGAGTGTGAAGATTTGCTCTGGATAACCCCCAAAACAGTTATTCCCTCTCGAGTCGCGTGCGATCTCAAAGAGAATCGCTCACGTCCGATCTCGATGGGATATTTACCTGAACGTCGTGAACTTGCAGCGGCATCGTTAGCCTTATCCGTTATATTGAAACAATAACTCTACGTACAGCTATCGGTGACAGACAGAATCGGACAGAATTATACCGCTCGTGAAGGAACGAAATCTTCACCGCGTACTATATATATCAATCAAATACGAAGCACGCATACACGTATGTACGTACACGCGGAACGTATAAACTATAGACCATGGTACAAACTAGTATAGACATAAGTATGTATAACCAGTAGGGACACTTTCGTGTTGGCACGTTTGATCAACGTGCCGGTCACGTGATCATTCGCTATCTAATGTAGGACCGAATAGAAGGTGTCCTATCTATTCTTTCCAGAGATACTTGTAAAATTGTTTATGTACATACACGCATAAATGCCTAACTATCCGAAGTTGCACGAGTATCGGAGCACATAAAAGAAGAAGAAGGAAGGTATGAGAAGTCACAAAAAGGATAGCCAAGTGTTTGTATATATACGTTTCTGTCGTCTTGCATTTCATTAGATCCGGCTCAAAACGAACACGCAATTTTTCACGGAATGTTCCTACTAGTTATGCTGTGGTATAAAATCTGTTCGTGCTTTTTGCAGCGCTTTCTCTCTTTTCAACGCTCAAATATATATATCTAGTTTTAAGTTCAAAATTTTTGGGGATTTCAAGCAACGCAAACAGACCTATAGATTCTAACTAGAGTCGTGACATGGAAAGTCGCACGTTGATTGGTCCGCCATTTTCAGGAATTCCCGCCTTATATTTGCGTACCCATTATTCGCGTTACTTTAAATTTCAACGATATGATCAAAATTAGAGATTTTAAAGATATAAACAAATAAATTTCTTTACATTTCGTATTGAAATAATGTATGAGAGAAGAATTGTTTAATTTAACGCTTTCTTTTTACAAAATTATCTTGAAAATTTAAAGATTAGATTGTATATTTTGAAACGAAGTTTAAAATTACAAAAGCGAATCAGTTTATTGGAATATTTATAATTTCATTAGTATTAGATTTACCTAGTAAATTTACTCAGTTCTGTAACTTTCACACGGTTCAAGATACATAATTGGTATACATACTCTGGTACGTAAAGAAAAAAAAATAAAATTTTTTTTATACTTTTAACATTTATTTTACAAATTATTATGCATCGCCATTAGTTTAAGCATTAGGTTGAGTGAAGATCCTCTAATAAAAGTCACGATACGAGCCGATTTGTTCAATTTTCAAACAGTGCACGACATCGCTAGAAGGAGACAGTAAAATTCAATTACTCATATTTAAAAAAACCACATCAAATAGGCTAAAAGGTGCAATATGATGAGATTTTTCAGTGAAAAATTGTTACCTTTTTTTAATAAATATCTGATGGGATGATGCCTTGAATGTGAGTTCCTATAATTATGGGCTTCAGCCGAGATGAAAATTAATAAATTTTGTGATAGTTCTCAAACCTTGCTGACGATAACTATTTGATATCCTCTTTTTCCCAAAAATTTATATAAAGAAAAGAAGAATTTTTTTCAGAATTAATTATCTGTGTTTGTTAGACGTTTTTAGGCAGTACATACAAAAGACTACATCCTACAAGATGTCTTTATGAAGACATACGTCCATGTATGATAAACGCGTTGTTTGGACGTCCACGATGTCAAATTATTACTTCACGAGACAGAAAAATACGATGTGCATTACTCCTATCACCGACAAGATACTATTAATGACCGATATCCTTATGGGAGTTCGCGTCCTTGTGAATATTAAAGTGATTAAGAGTTAAAAACTGATAATATTGTACTTATTTTATAATTTATTAGTTTATAGATGTATTTATGCATTTAAAACTCAATAATACTCAATTTTTCTTTAAAATTGTGATTTTGTGTTATTGTCAAAGTTTGATTATCAACAGAGATGATAACTGTAGAAAAAAAATTGTAATTTTTCTACAATATATATTATATATAGGATATTATAGCTTTACAAATATGCATATTTATTTATGGAACATTTATGTAATAAAAAATCATGAATTTAATAATATATAAACCAAATATTTTTGTTAATAATATAATATTATAGCATATTTATATCAATTGTCGATAATGTCAGCGTTCTTCAATTACCTCCGGGCCCTTTTTATACCGCCGAAAATTTGCCCAGATCTTTAATCTTATCGGTGCTTCTATTCTTCATATTATACATTTATTCTGAAAAAATTTCTTTATAATGTTTCTCTTTGGAATTTTCTTATCATCGCGAGATTATTTACTGACGTGTTTCAATGATTTATAACGATTCAAGACTTCCTCTATCGAACGTTGTAAGAACTTTTTCTGTTAGGCGCTAACATATGATTTTCAATGATCGCACATTTAGATATCATTGCGTGGACTTAATTTCTCGCGTGATTGGAAATAATCGTAATAATTTGGCGCTAAAATTGTATATAAATAAGTTTATTTACAGTACAGTGATCGAAAGGCACGAAATAAATAGCCGAAAGTCGAGTTGCTCGAAATAATTGTGATTTAAATTCGGTACATTGTCGAATCCTCCTCGATCTAAATGTTGGTTTCCATTGTTGTCGAATCATCGCGCTGTTATCGTGGAGTTTAACAATTCCCGTTTCTGTCTTGCTCGACGATTTTGAAACCAGATCTTGATCTGCGAACACAATAATAAGTTCAAATTTCGATAATCTTCATCAATATCGCGCAACGTCTCTATTTACTAGCAACAGAACAAGATAAGGACGGAAGTACAGACAGTCAATTCTACTAAACAGCGATTGGTCAGTTAAAGGCCGATTGAATAATTGGCGCTGGTGAAACCGGTCCGTATTGTTATGATGCATAGAACGCGGCAATGCTTGAAATTGACGCGAGAGCAATTCAATTTATCGTTTTTCCATAAAAGCGAAAGAGAATGGACGCGTTAAAGTTAACAAAGCGTCTAGTCTCTGCTCGCCGCGAGCAAATGAACATAATTGGTTGTTAACTATAGATCCAACCAATCATATTCAATCGCTCGGTAAGCCTCTCTGCTTTGCCGTCTTGAATTCGCCCATTTTTTCGCTTTTATGGAAAAGTGATTGGCTACTGCGCTAATTTGCGCTTCGCGGCAGACGTTATGATTCCTGCAGACAGAACGCGGTAACGCTCATTCAGAAGAATATTTATTTTGCAATCGTTAGAAATTTTCTTAGCTGACTTAGAGACTATTTCCTAGATCTACAAATATAATCCAATCGGCACAGAACGTTTATTAAAGCATTGTCCAAGCAAAACAACAAGTCACTATGATATCACACAAAATGACTCTAAAATGATCATTAAAAGTCATTCTTTAATCGTTTCCGATTCATTTTAATATCACTTTGACGTTATTGTGACTTGTTGTTCTGCTTGAATGGACTTCTGCTAAACGCAGCCAATGTTAAATACGTTTGTTTTTTTATTGCTGTACTGAACTGCACTAAAATTTTCTTTCTCGCTTTGGCTAAATATTAAGTATATAATTCATTTTATTTTATTTTAAATAACTAAAGAGTCTATACCAATTTAATTATAAAAAAAAAAAATAGATCTAATATCATATTATTTTAAAGGTATTTTAATTCTCTTTACAATTATACACCTTGTTTTCTTTATTTAGGAAAGTTCTTTCTTAAGAAGTTCGCATTTAAAAGTCTTAAATATAAAAAATTGTGGATTGAGTCAACTATAATCAAAAGAAAAATCCTCGCAACCGACATACTTTGTTCTGCGGCAGTCGTAATGTTGTGGACATCTCGACGACGTCGGTCCTGGATAAGTAAGCACCCTTTTTGTATTTCTCCTCTAATATCTGCAACTGTGACGAGGAGAACGGGATGCGAGGATGATCGCCTGCTTGTCGCTTGACCCGTCTTTCAGCGAGAGACCTCCTAGGTAATCTCGGAGGTCTGTACCGAGTGTACTGAAGCCACGTGAGATCGGTCCACCGTGTAGTGCTCTCGCCGATGTGGTCACCGTTTCGCTGTCGCTCCGCGACGATGGGAACATACGGCGCGTTGCGCTTTTCCGGCTCGCCCGCACGTTCCAACGTCCGTTTCTCAGCCTTCGTTCCTCCCCGGGAATCGCACTCCGGAGACTCGCGCTGTTTTCGCGCGTCGACGTCGGCACCCGGGAGTTCCTCCGCGAGTATACGGGCTATGCTGAAGTCCGTGTTTCTTGTCCGCAAGCCTTGTGCTTCGCTCGTCATCCCGAGAGTCTCACTAAATCCTCCAAAGGACGAACCCTTCGCTATATATACATACATACATACGTACGTATTTCGGGGTACGAGTGGCCGAATGCACACGCTTGAACCCCGTGGGGCACGTACCCCTCTTCTTCTTCCTTTTTTTTTTGCGAGACGCATCCTCTTTTGCGGGCAGATCCAAATTAGACGCATAGTTGCACCGCACGATCGTTATCGCGCTGCTCGCACGACGGGGGCCACGCTTCTGTGTATTTACTACCTGTCCCATTGTTGCGGCATGCTCTTATACCAGTGTATTATCTGCGATCTGACCACATCTTCGGGATACTTACTACTGGGTAATAACAATGTAATTGATACTCTGTAGCAAGGGAAATGGGTCGCTGATGTAGAGTAGGAAACGGATCGGGGGATCGAGAGTCCCGATTTCTATAGGGCAGATGTCCTGACGCACTGAGGCCTGTATAATTAAAAAGCCACAGGGGTCATCTTAATCCGGTAATATATCCGTCTCATTGATGTAAATATTGAACAACGTGCGGGGAACATGGTCCGGGTATATTGTTACACTACACACGTGATCTTTCTCTCTCTTTCTCTCTCTTTCTCTCTCTTTCTTCCTGTCTATCTGTGCTCTTATGTCAGATGATACACGAGTGGATCAAGAAACCGTTGCATTGTATTACTGCTTGCTCGGAAATTTGCAATTTCGAAACCTGTCGTCATTTTTTTTTTTTACTTCGTATCTTCGTTCTGGGAACCTTCCTAGGAAGAACCAAATCTATTAAAATCGGACAATGCTAATTTATCGTTATATTTATCATCATACTTCGTTAATAGATTTACATCACAGCCTCTTCTTTTTTCTTGTTTCGTCGAATTTCGGTTGAGGTAATATTTTCTGCAACAAGTTGTTTACAAATTTCAGGATGCTAATAATATCGAATAGACGATTTGATTTAATTTGGAGAAATTAGTATTATTTCAGTTTAACTGTGTCGCAAATTACTGAAAAGTGATCGCAGTCACATTATCTGAGAAAAATTTATTTAAATACATAGACGTATTATTCCAGTATCTGACTTTAATCGTAAATAGCGCTTCTCTTATTTCATTGATTTATATTCATTACATCTTCTTCTTGTGAAAGAGATCTGACATCACAGACTTCTCAGTAGTAGAAACTTAATAGTTATAATTAATAGTGAAAGCAATCGATGAAGGAGGGTAAAAAAAGCGAAAAAAGAAATGAGCTCATCTATCAGTTTTTACAGATCAAAACTTTCAAAAAACTTTCTGCATGCAGAAAACGAAGTTATACATTACGTAATCACAGGAATGAACTTCGCCACATATCTTACTTATTTAGCTTTCTATTGATAAAATTAGCATTTTCGATAAACTTGGCTATCTGGAATTAATTCAATGAGCTAAACGTTAGCGATATGCTTAGCTCGCTTTAGTTAATTCCAGATAGTCAAGTCTGTTGAAAACAGATGTTGCAAAGTGTCAAAATAAATTTTGTTGCTATAAAAAAGATGTAGCAGAATGCAACATCTTTTTTATGCTGAAATACGATAGCAGATTAGAAGAATTGAGAAAAATCTGAAACAATTAAATGTCTCATTTAAATAGTTGCAAAATAAGACAGACTCTTCCTCCAATCTGTTGCTGACGATCCGTTTTTGTCATAATTGCATTCTTTTTTTCTATACTATAATTTATTTTTCCTTGATTTGAATTTGCACCTAAAATTTTATTAAACTACTTATCTTTTGTAAGCGCGCAAAGATCGGGAAAATTATTCTGTTTTTGTACGTCAACGTTCCGCACGAATAATGATAATGATAAAGAAATACATTTGTTTTGCTATTTGTTTAAAAGTAATGAAAGGACAGATAAAGACGCAATTTACATATCAAGCGTGCGCATAATAGATTATATCCTTCAAATTATTATCGTCACGCAAATGAACTGTTCGTTTTATCAATTAAATCAAACGTAATTATAGTATTTCGTATTATATGCTGTGTGGTATTATATACTTATATTTTTATAATACCGATATTTTCTAACAATTTTCAGAAACGAAGGTTATCGGAGGTAGAATATTACTTAGTATGTTACATATATCTAACTGAAATTTTCATAATGCCGGTAAACATAGAGGAAAGGCCCCTATTATGAGATACCGAGTTTATTTTGGGTAAATACTAGAAATCTGTAGGCAGAACTTTTGAAAATAATAGGTCATTTTGAAGGGAATTTAATAAGCTTTAAGATAACGTTACATAAAATTTAATTCAAATTCCATTTTTTTTTTAAATTAAAGAAAAATGTAAAAAGTGAGCAAATTGCAAAGTCAAAAAATTGTGCTCCTAATATACGCCCCGAGAAATCGATAGTAAAACACAAAGTATATGCAGTATTGCAATTAAAAAATTTTATTTATTATTTCTAAAATACAAACAAACACAGCCGGCGCGCGCGAAAAATGTGCATGCGATAGATTATAGAACTCATTTTCAGAACTCGTTTTCAGATAGCTGGAATCAAGCATCGCAGATGTAGGCACTCGACGTTCATTTCGGTTATCTTTGTTATTATTGTACAATAACATTTATAACGATTTTCACTGTAATATATGTATAGGAGCATGGATTATTTCAAATTCAATTATTAGGAATATCCTGGGTATCTCATATTACGATTTCCACACCTTATGGTTTTACGATCATCAAATCTAAGTTCTGTAATTAAACAATTCAACATATCCCGCATTTTTATATTAGTACGACTCTATCACTACATGAAGAATTTATCACCAAATATTTATTTATTAAATAATAAACAAGGTTTAAATGCTCATCTCGATGAAACGGAGATATCGAAATTTTAAAATCTTGTTTTACAACGATTACAAGCATGATCTAATAATGAATTTTCTGTTAAATAGTTTTCAATCCAAGAGCAATAAATTCATGGTGGATAACCAATAGATAAGATTTATTAGTTTAGCAGAAACGCCGCTATCTCATAATAGGGGGCTTTTCTTTATAATTTATTAGTATTACTTCTCATATATATGTAAAGCAAATTATAAATAATACTTAAAAAATATCGATACTATCGATTTCATACATTTAGTAACCGAAATAAAAGTAAAGCAAGTGGTAAGTACGCAAATCTACGTAAATATCCTATTGAACTTACCGGTTACGGTATATAAGTTAACGATTTACGGCCTGCATAAAAAAAAAAAAATAGAAATGGATAGAAACCAATCCTAATAAAGGCTGTCTGGCTGTGTTCCAAAGTTCATTGCCAGCGCTGAAAATCTACAGTTTACGTACACATTTTCAGCACTGGCAGTGAATTTTGGAATACAGTCTAGATAGGATAAGAGCTCGTAGTGGAAGGAACTCCAGGTCTGTTCTTTTTAACTAAAACGTTTTGCGCAATTCATCTTTTCACTTTCTCTCTCCAAAGGGCGGAAAGAAAGGAAGATAAATCGTGCGCGAACTTTAGCTAAAAGGAACAGACCTCCATGAGGTAGGATTAGGTTAGGTAAATTAATCCGGACGGAGGGAAAGAACAGTAGAAGGGGCGGGGCGGACATGGAGGGGGAAATGCCAATTGCCACGACTAAGCGATCGAGTGGCGGTGGAGTGCGGTAGAGGCGGCTCTTTCAGACATCTCGCCCACGATTGTTCCGCTACGGATTACCGCCGTGTCAGCTGTTCCTTGGCGAGAGGAGGAAAGATCCCGTTCGCTGAACGTCAAGCAAGCGACGCGCAATCCAACGGTTCGTCTGGTGTGTTCCCGCGTGCGCTCAAGGAAAGATGCAGGCGAACGGCGACGGCGTTCCGGTTTCGCCGAGGAAGAAACAGCGGACGTCCACCGTGTCGAAGGTCACGGTAGTCCTCGGCGCGCAATGGGGCGACGAGGGCAAGGGAAAGGTCGTGGACATGCTGGCGATGGAGGCTGACGTCGTCTGCAGGTGTCAGGTACGATTTTCCTTCGGATTTTCATATCCGAATCCCTCCGCATTTCTCTTCCTCACCCTCGCCATCTACGACCGACGTGATGTTCCTTGAGAGCCGAGAGATTCACGAAATGATATCTCTCATCTGCGTAACGCAGAATGACAATCGGATTATCTTCCCTTTCGGAGAAAGAACTCGACATTACCCGGACTCTTTCGCGCTGATTGATCGAGGGACGGCGCGTGATGGGTGCACGGAGAGAATATTAGGTTAGATCGCGCGTAATTTCCGGGTAATTTTCCAGGAATGACTAAAAATATTTCCTCGAAAGGAACATTTGGCATACGTTTTGCTCTCCCCGCGGATGACAAGCGAGCACTCGGGAAATGCGAAAAGCGTCTTACGTTTTATTCGTCTTAGTTTTATTTTTAGCCACAACCGCGTGTCACCTGACCTGTGCGCGCGAGTATCGCGAATGTATAACAATCTCTGATATTACATAATTGACGGTCATAAAAGAAATATATATTTCTGAAAGAGAGAGAGAATTAACTCACGAAAGTTCTCAGTCTATCTTTATGACTCAAAAAAATGAAATTATTTTTTATTTTTTGCGTATCATAAAAACATAGAGCTTTCGTTTTATCTTTTTCAAGGACGATTTACATAATTAATGATGGAATCAATGTTCTGAATAATTAATCGATTTATGCTAATATAAGAAACTCAAAATTATGCATATCTGCATTTTGTATCCGTATAGGAGAGTTAATAATGTTAAATACATGTATATGATGATTAGAAATACGTTATGTACGATTGGAATTAATGTGCTGTTTTTTAAATAGAGCTCAATGAAATTATATTTAAATTGTATTATAAATTGTATAATACACACACATTCAATATAATGAAATATTGCTTCGCACTGTTTTCTTTTTTGCCCTTTTCTTATTTTTCTTATCCCCAACATGGTAAACTTGTATCCGAATTTCAATGCCATTGTTTATATTGGCCATTGTATATATGGCGGGGAATTCTGTGTCTGTTCTTGATTTACAATTCAATGATCAAATCACAACGCGCTATATTTCCCGTCATAAATAATGGCGAGCCCTGTTTCTTCAAGTATTAATGTAATTTCACAGGGAGGAAATAATGCAGGGCATACTGTAGTTGTAGAAGGTGCCGAATTCGACTTTCACCTTCTGCCTAGTGGAATAATCAATCCCAGATGCAAATCCATAATAGGTAATGACTTCTTCAAATCAACCAATAAATTAATTGAATTATAGATATTCTGATTTGCGAAAAAGTAACATGTCTCTGTGATGATTTTAATAAAATTAATGTAAAATGAAAGAATATAGAATAATACTTTATGAAGGTTAACGAGATGCTAATATCATGGATACATATAAAACAGACAATTATTCCACTTGTTCATATAGGTTGCTCTATACCTCTTGATATGTATTATTATCTGAATAACTTTCTGTTATATATCACAAATTATATAATCGATATTATTCAATTGTACTTTCTTGTGTTTGCAGGCAATGGGGTAGTGATTCATTTACCTGGTCTGTTCGAAGAATTGGAGAAGAACGAATCTAAGGGACTTAAAGATTGGCAGGACAGGCTTATAATATCGGATCGAGCACATATAGTGTTTGATTTTCACCAACAGGTCGATGGGTTGGAAGAACTAGAAAAGGGCACGCAGTCATTGGGGACTACAAAAAAAGGTATAGGACCGGTGTATTCGGATAAAGCCGCTAGAGCTGGACTCAGGATTGGAGATCTTCTCGGAGACTTCGATAAGTTTTCCCAAAAGTTTAAAACCTTGGTTACATCGTATCAAAAAATGTTCCCTGCCCTGCATGTCGATGTTAAAGCCGAATTGGAGCGTTACAAGATGTAAGTGTAATGACCATCTTCCAATTTAATTGTAGATTCGGTCATGTTAATTGTATGCTTTACAATATACGGTTGATTTTTTCACAGATATTCTGAACGTATAAGGCCGTACGTAAGGGAAACGGTACAATATTTGCATCAGGCTTTAAAGGATGGCAAGAAAGTTTTGGTGGAAGGCGCCAATGCAACGATGTTGGATATCGATTTTGGAACTTATCCGTATGTGACAAGTTCGAATTGTAGTATAGGCGGAGTACTGACAGGTCTCGGTTTACCATGCAGCACAATCGGCGAGATAATTGGTGTCGTGAAAGCCTATACTACTAGAGTAGGCGATGGGCCCTTCCCCACGGAACTTTTTGATTCTACAGGAGAACTGTTGCAAAAAAGAGGCCATGAGATCGGCGTGACCACAAAACGAAAGAGACGATGTGGATGGCTCGATTTACCATTGTTAAAATTTACAACTCGAGTTAATGGGTATGTGTATAGTGATTTCTTATTAAAAAACATTTTTTTTTAAAGATGATGGGCGTCGAACTTCGAAATCACCTGTTTTATCGATTAATGCGATTTAAGGCTCCTGAGTAATTACCATAGTCATATTGGACCGCAAATATTATTTAAAAAAACTGCAAATATTGTTATAAATTGACGCTAGAACTCGATAACAAAACTAATTTTTTAATGTTTTTTTTTATATACGAAATCATTTAGTCCTTGCGTTATTGTCTATATTTTAATTATGAAAAATTTATAATTCTGTATAATTAACAAAAAGATTACCTTATTTGAAAAAAAATTGTGTTTGATCGATAAAATATAACTTCAGCATTCGTCTTTTAATAATTGCTCGATTTGAAATTTAATACAATATTACCTTTATCATAATCTACATATAGAATGTTTTGTCTGTTATTCTAGATACACCTCTATATGCTTAACAAAGCTTGATATCTTGGATACCTTACCAGAGATAAAAGTATGTGTTGGATATCGGTTAAATGGGAAGGACATAGATTATTTGCCGAGTAGTATTTGGGAATTAGCAAAAGTCGAAACAGTATATAAAACAATCGAAGGTTGGCAATCCACTACTGAAGGTGTACGTTCCTTGGATAAATTGCCATCTAATGCACATAAATACATACAAATTATAGAGGAATATTTAGACGTGCCAGGTACTTAAATGCTTTTTGCACATGTATGCAATGCGTATGTGAATCTACGAGAGAATTAGATAGATATATAGAGTAATTTATATTTGATTACAGTCAAATGGATCGGCGTAGGAGCAGGACGAGAAAGCGTAATCGCTCTCTGACGACACACGGTCCCTATAATGTTACTTAAACGCACGGCATTAAATGTATTATTAATTTTAATTCTATCTGTAACATTTGCAATGCAAAGCTGATGAGCGCACAGATATATTGTAATAATAAGTTTTCAGCGCGCGAGCGCGCAAATGTAGTATTAATTTTGAATCTGAGCAATGTATAATTATAAACAATGTGTTTAGTCATTTTATAGTATATTACAAATGAGCCGAAAATTATTATAAAAATATCCATTATATTATCCATTTATTTAAAATGGATAATATAAAGAATTTTTTTACGATTTATTTTAAATGGGTATTCTGTTTTATTAGAGATATATATTGAAATGTTTGTCAGTTTTACTATCTTTTAAATCATTTCTGTTTGTTATTTGAGATAATTCGCTAAATGTGCTGAATTTGATAGTATATGCTGTCATAATCTTGTTGAGAAAGTTGAAATGTGCAAAGAAAAAAATATATATATCGGCATATTAAAAAAAAAAAACATTCTTCACAAGTTTGATTTAAAAATCCGACATTGGCTTGCGCGTGCGCACTGCCACTGCGATCCTAACCTGCAATTGTGATGTCAAATTAGTATATAAATGTGTGTACTGTATTTACGGAAGATAACTTTCTCCACCAGCCGGTGGAATATATAAAAAAAGTATTAAATAATCCTAATAGGTTGACACTTGGACACTTCCACAGGACTAAGAAAAAAGGTATATACAGTCACTATTTGATAATAAAACAAAATCCATAAGTTTAATCATAAATAAGTTACTTTTCTATAAAATACGATTGTTTACTAACTATTAAGAGAGATAAGCATAGTTTTTGTCCATTTTTACAAATATTTTAAAACGATCTTATCATTTTGCTTTGTTCAAATTGTCTTTATTTACAAATGGTACGTAACAAAAATTAATGTGTCATTCTTTGCTTTTGACGTTACGATTCAATATCATTCAATGGCTAAGATGACTTTTAGAGTAAATAGGAATCAATGTTAAAATTGACAAATTCAAAATTACGAAAGACTTTTATACATATAAATTTTTGCAATAATTCGAATAGTTTTTCAAGTTTTGAGAATCCATCATATTAAATTTACTATATAAATTCCATTTAACTACTTATTAACCATAGTCGATATTGTAAATTCCTTTTGAGTGCTTAAAAAGTTCTAAAAATATATTTCATTTTGATTGCGATAAATCAAAATGCCTTCTTCGGCATCTTTTTTTTTTTTATATATCGTAGTTATAATATGACTAAGTATCTGAAAATAAAATTTTCTCAAAATTATGACGTAATAGAGCAATTCGAAAACCAGATTCGTATTATTAAGATCCAAAAAACTACGGGAGGTGACAAATTATCTTATTTCAATATTCGGAAAAGTCTTTTTTTTGTCGAATGATGCAGTTAGTGATTCACAGACAGACAGCTGTTTAACTGTAATCTGTAATTAATATCTTTATATCTCAAAAACAATTAATCGGAATGGAAAATGGCAAATACTTTTTAAATTTATTCATTTTTTTTTTAGAACTTTCTTGTTGTGGTATTTCAACTTGTGAATTTCAGGACACTTTGTATAGAAATTAGTTTTAATATTTATTATAGATTGTTACATTTAATATGGATTATGAAATAATATAATTTTTAAATCTAATGTCTTTAGTATTATAAAAAAGTAACAAATCATTACTTTCTAAGTAACCGTAACGGTAACGCATTACTTTTAAAAATCTGTAACGAATAACTGTATTATAAAAATTAGTAACGAATGACATAAAAAAAAAATAATAACAGTAATGTGTTATTTGTATAAAGTAACGTTTCTAACGCTTTAACATTAATATCTTTAATCCATTTTTATAGAAAAAGAAATTATGTTTAAAATTAGGTAATACAATAATTATGAACACAATCAACATTTCTATCTAAATACTCGTATGCTATGTTTACTTACTGTTTCACAAACATTCCTGTATGTAAGTAAAACATAGCATACGAGTATTTAGATAGAAATGTTGATTGTATTCATAATTATTGTATTATCTAATTTTAAGTATAAATTTTTTTCTCTCTGTGAAACAGAGAGAAGTGTGCATGTGAAATGTGTTCAGTTTTACATATTTCGGCAAATTGTGCGGCGATCAGTAGGGTCAGATGTATCTTTGAGTCTTAATTTACCTTACAAAAAGTAAAGAAGAAAAATCATGAAGCCAACGGCTTGAAATAATTGAGATGAAAGTAGGTAAGGTAATGTGAAAGCATCCTACATTTTCAAGTATAACCCGACAAATATTTGACATTCTTATGTGGCGATACGAAACGAGACAACTCTTCCAACTGGAAGCACTTTCAAAAAAGTCATCTTTATATTCAGTTATTTATATATTGCATAAAAAAGTTTATGCAATACATACAACAACTGATATAAAATCTAAAATTATTAACACTATAATCATTATTTTTTGCTTTTGGTAGAAAGAATTTTATAACAGCAAAAAAATCTTTATAAAAATCGATGTAATTCGTCTTGTATATATAATTATATTACTTTTATTATCTAAAAATTTTGTTTGACAATTTTGTTTGATTCATATCTATCATATAATAAGTCGGGATAGATTCCGATCGGAATTATTCAATTATTCCTTAGATATTTCTATTCAAATTTTCTAGAGAAAACGGATTAATTCTATTTGGAATATATTCGGATTTGTTCTATGATAGGTGCCCAGTATATCCCCGAAAAAAATGTTTTATATATAATTTTATATAGTTTTATGTAAAATTTTTTTTCCCGGGATGCTTAAGCAATATACTTGATAAGATATTAGAAATTTATATAAAGATAGCAGCTGATGCAATAAATATTGAGTGTGTACTAGATAACGATAAAGTTTTACATGAAATAACAATTTTTAAATTGCTATATAATTGCTGTATAAAAAACAAAATAGGTAATTCTAACAAATATCTTATTTGATTAATAATATAATTTTGCATGTAATAACAATCTTTAAATTGTATAGTATATGTAATAACAACGAGAAATAAAAAAAGAATGGACATATGCAAGATCCCGAAGTATGCGAATTAAAATATCATAGTAAGAAAGTTTTTTGGAAAAATTGATAAATTACGTAAAGTTATTTTAGAATTTTGTTTAGACAGTAGTTTTTGAGATATAAGGATTTAAATATGGCCAACTGTAGATCTTTAAACGATCATCTAATTAGTGATAGTGAATATGTATTAATAAAAAATGTGCACTTGGCTCGCTGATACTATCGTAAGCGCGATTCAAGAACAGGTGGTCGTCTAAACGCAGTCTATAATTGGTCATATTTAAATCCTTATTATCTCAAAAACTACTGTCCAAAATAAAAATTTACAAATAACTTTTTTACTTAATATTTTGAAACCTTTCTTGCTATAGTATTTTTATTACCTAATTTCGGGATATCCTATATGATAATCTTAGAAAGGAAATTCTGGATGCTTTGATAGACCTTTAAAAAAACTGAAATCACACACGCGTGCAGATTCTCCCATATCTAAAGCATTTAATTTGTCAACATCTTCAGCTTCGAGTTCCCAATCGAATAATTTCATATTTTCTTCAATTCTTAAAGGATTAATGCTTTTCGGTATAGTCGCTATGCCTTTTTGAATTATGTGTTTGAGTAATATTTGTGCTGACGTTTTTTCGTATTTTTCCGCAATTTCTAACACAGTTACGTTTTTTAATGAGTCCGGCACAACGTTTCCCTTTCCTATTTTCTCAACAAATCCACGGCTGCCTAAAGGAGCATACGCCGTTACACTGATGTCGTTATCTTGACAAAACTTGACCTGCAATACAAGAATATCAATATATATTTTTAGATTAATAAAGTTACAGTCACGATTATTCAGATTGTCATTTATATCGATGATTTCTTTAAATTGTTTTTCGGATGTTAAAAATTGTGATTCCGCGAACGCATTACGATTACACTGATAATTACCATGCTATATCAGTATTTTACAATTATCGAAATATAAATATAAATTATTAGTGTAGTAATGATACATAAAACACAATTTTTAACATCCAGAAAACAGTTTTTTTAATACCCAGCCAACAGTTTGAAAAAATGAAAGACGTCAAATTATGGCGTTCAGTTCGAATAATTAGCATCGTAATGAAAATTTCTTATTACTTAATTAATTATAAGAAATTGAAAAGAATTTTTACTCATTACTGTGTACGAATGATACTGATATTTTTCTTTTTCTTTCACTCCTTTTGGGTTTAATTCTGCCATTTAAATTCTCGATGTAAGGGTGCTCACCATGACAGGATAACTTTTATTCACAGTTTATATATGTTAGTTTGTGTTGTTTCTGAGGAAGGCTCAAAAGTGAGCCGAAACGTGTAAGCACGTTTAGTAGAGTAAAGAGGTTTTACGCTTTATAAGTGTATTATTTGCGCGACGTGCAATCTTCTGCGCCTGACTCCTAGTTCCCTTATTCTTTTCAATTTCTTTTGATTTATAAGGAATCTTTCATAGTTTGATTTATTATACGGATTAATTAATTATTACGAAAATCGCAAAATGGTAAAAAGATTTTTCCCTTCAGTTTAATCTGTTTTATCTACCCGTAAGAGATATACAATATATAGCATGGTAATTATCAGACTTCAGTATAAACAAAAATACATTTATAAGATAAGATAGTTACTAGTTCTGTTTGTTGAAAATGAACATGCAATTCAATTTGCAAATTTGATATTGGCAATTTAGCGTTATCCAAAATTCTTTTGATCTGTGCTATGTTAAAGTTGCTCAATCCAATCGCTTTAGTACGTCCTTCTAGCACTTCATTCTCCATTGCCGACCAAATTTCCAGATGGTCTGTATCAGCATCAATAATTATTTCTCCTTTTTCATTAAAAGGATGAAGCTCTTCTCCAGCTTGATATCCAAACGGCGTATGCACGAGGTATAAATCTACGTAGCTCAAATGCAAATTAGAAAGTGATCTTTCCAGATATTTTTTTATATCACCGGGTCTATTTCCACTAGGCGGTACCTATAGATATTGAACATAATAAAATAATAAAACTTGTTACAATAAAATAAACGGGCATAGTCAATAATAAAACTATATTAGAGTTGAATAAAAACGATAATGTGATTTAACAATTAGTCAAATGTGTCACTAGGCGTGTTCTTTTTGGCTGAACTTTTGCATTAATTTATCTTTCTTCTTCTCTCCTCCTGAAGAGAAAAGGAAAAAAGATGAATCGGTGATTCCTACTGATTGACAAAAAAAGACAAAAGAAGATCAGCAGTTGAATATCGATATTGCTTTGACTCACACTGATCTTCGTCTTTTCTTGTTAATCAGTGACACATTTGACTAATTGTACCGTTTTTATTCAACTCTAATATAGTTTTATTATTGACTACGCCATTAATTTTATTATTTCTACTTATTTTATTATTATAATAACTGAATAATATAATCGTTAGTTACATTTGGATTACATTGTAGGATTTTCAGTCATTTACTATCTACATTACCTACGCAGTGACGAAATGGAAATAAGCTCGAATTATCTCGCTAAAATATACATACTATTTAATATGCTTCAAAGATCAAGGATATGCAGATAATATGAGATTTCTTTTCTATCTATTTATTACTGCATGCAGATATTTATATTTATATTATACTTAAAATAAATATAATAGGATAATTCTAGTGTTACCTTAGTCACAATAAACAGATCGGATCGCTTGATCCTGCCCGATTCCAACCATTTTTTTAAGATTTTTCCAATAAAATGTTCATTTTCATATACTGTAGCCGTATCGATATGCCTGTATCCCATTTCCAAAGCAGCATCCAGAGCTGCTTCTAGTTCTTCTCCGCTTGCCTGCGGATATATTATAAATATATCTTTATAGACAAAAATAACACACATTCACACAGAGTATCCTCGAATAAGAAGAAAATTCCTTTTTATCTCGTAGAGATAGATAAATATGATATTAGACTTAGTGGTTTAAAACAAGCACAGTAGTTATTTATAAAAATTATTTATATCAGGAGGGACATAACTTTTTTTGCATGCGCGCGCGCGCGCGCGCGCGTGTGTGTGTGTGTGTGAAGTATATTTTAAATAAAACATATGTCACATTCAAATATAATATAATTATGATATAAATAAATTTTGTTTGAATTATACTATAATTTCTTTATAAACTTACGTGCCACGTTCCAAATCCTAAAATGGGCATTCGTTGCCCTGTTGGCAGAGATACACTGGTATTTTGTTGAACCATATTCAATGTGTCTTGTAACAACGTAGGAATCAAATTGTATGTTTTAAATTCGAGATGTGCTATATTACTGCATTCCACCACTCCTATACTCTACCACACAACTTTCACCGTATTATATAGCTATAGGCTTTTGTATAAAGTATATATCTGTATTACTGTCGAGTAACACACAAGAAAGATACTGCAACTTTCTTACAAATTTTAAACATTGCAGAAATAAAGTATATGTGAATCTAATCACATAGCAATTTTCAACTGAAATTGATAATCCAATTATAAAGATAAAAATTGCCAAAAATTGATCTTCAATAACTTTTTACTCAAATACTATCAACTTTATAGAAAAACTGCAAGAGACCAAAATTGTTTATTTTCTTCTCATAGAACTTATGAATTTTTTTTTCAGAATTGTTTATCAATTTTTTAGTACTGCATTTTCTCATTTTTAACAACATAAGAAAATACGTATTAAAAAATTCTGAAAAAATGGTTAGAACTGTATGAGAAGAAAATAAACAATTTTTGTCTCTTGCAATTTTTCTGTAAAGTTGATAGTATTTATTTGAGTAAAAAATTATTGAAGACTAATTTTCAGCAATTTTTAATAATTAATATCTTGTTAATTATTGCGAAAATTGCAAAATAGTAGAGAACTTTTCTTCTCAGTTTAGTCCATTCTACTCCTATGCAAAAAATTTATCGTTATTTTCCAAACATCCTGTATATCACAACTTGTCTATCTCCACTTCCATTTGCATTTTCAATCGAATTCAATGTTAGCAGTCTAGGTAATTTACTTATAGATTTATTATTTTTAGCTAAACTTATTGCGCAGTGCATCTTTCTTCCTTTTCTCTTTATATTGCAGAAAAAAAAGAGAAAATATGAACCAAGCAAAAATTCAGATAAAAAGAACAACCTTTACAACTTACCTACTTACCTTGAAAGTAATTCATCTAATAATTTCCTATTCTTGTAATCACTGAATCCATCAACTCAAGATTAAATCTTTCTTTACACAGACGTACATATCATTATTAAGACATATTGAATGCGAGTGATGTAATATTTCTGCTAAATTTGGAGTATCGTGAATGCTAAAAGAAATAGAGAACAATTTCTTGACGAAGATACAAAATTTAGGAAAAGAGTTAATCTTCAAGGCAGTATTTGCTGAATCTCAATATAAGCAAGCAAATTCCAGAAACTGCAAATAAATCTGTCAAAGTGTAGTATAATAATAATAAATAAGCATTTCAACATACATATAAGTGATTGTCCTCCTTTATTTCTGAAATTAAAGAGTTAATGTTATTTTTATTTTAAATTCATGTACAAAAATATTAAAAAAAAATATATATATTATTACTAATTATATTCATTATTGATTATTTCAGATATCTGGTTGTCTATAAATGTATATTTGCATAAATTGTGGAACTGAATGCAAAGAACTTTTTAGGAGATACTGCCCTAGTGTTCTTAAAATCTTAAAATGTGTAAGTAAAACATGAACTCATGCTTTTATATATATTGCATACTGACAATTTTACACTATTTTAGGAGAAATGTGGATTGTTAGCTGACAAATATATTGAATATGATCCTGTCATAGTCTTTGTAGATCTTATTCTGATAGAAAAACCAGCTTACAGACATCTTTTGTACAATAGCAATTTTAAATCATATTGGAAAATAAGTATAATATTATGGCTAGCTGAATCGTTCAGGGCTTGGTCTTTATGTGATATAAACGAAACAGAATTAACTGCGTCAGAAGTAGATTTAGTTCACAATGATGGATTACAAGATCATTGCAATATTTACAATTTACTGTTACACACAGCACTAGCATTTGCAGCATTCATTTGTATAGTTATTGTAGTGACTGAACTAAAATGGTTTATCATTGGCAAAAAACCATATAAATACAGTGTAAAAGATTTAAGTTGCGCTCTAATAGTCGGAGGTTGTGGTAAATTATTGGGATTACTTGGAATAGTGTGGCAGCACATAGCCTCGGGTCCATATTACCTTCTTATTCAAGGTTACACCATTTTATGTCTTTTAACTGCATATTCAGGTAAAAATGCACTTATAAATGTACACTTTATGTAAGACATTCATAGTTTTTATTGCAACTTCAAAATTCACATTCTATTTATAATTTATCTTTGATCAATTATTTAATAATACATACTATATATTTCCGGTTTTTTTTATTGCAGTTGTTTGCAAGAGTGGAAGGGGAGGATCTTTGATTGGATTAATTGCTGGATTTTTACTGTATGGTTACATATGTACTTCCATATCTAAATTGCACCTAAATATTTCCAATATCACACTAACATGACATAAAATATCTGATAAAACCACACAGTTTTTGATGTTCAAGCATCTTTAACAGGAAGAACACTCCAACCTAATACTAGTCTATCAAAACCACAAGAAAATAAATTACACACACTGCTGTCTTCCAACCAAGCAACAGAACACACCATCCTACGATGTCCCTGCAAATATAATTATATTATTTTTTAATAAAATATATTTATAATTTAAATGATATATTTCAAGAATAAAAAAAATTTGATTGTGTTACGCAATTTTTATATACTATAATAATGATACAATATGAAACAGCAAAATAGAGATTTAAATCTCTTATATTTTATATATAAATCTGAGAATATTAACAATAACTGATGTGTAACTTTTTATTTTAATAAAAAGATCTCAAACTCTCCTTTTACTTATCATTACAGATAATGTATATATCAGTTAAACCGTTATATTATTAATTTAGCCAACTAATTACAAAGATAAGTTTGATATGCAATTATAAAAATATATCTTTTCTTACCTGTCTACTAGTTCTAGGTAACCTTGCCAAACGTTGACCACTTAGATCAAATAAACGTATTTGTCTATTGTCGTGTGGTATTGCCACTATCCCGGTACTAGAAACTGATAATCTATTAGCAGCGCTATCTCCACGTATTGTCGCTAATGGACTACGTATATTACGCAATTCCCATACTTTTACACTTCTATCGTCCGAACCAGATACAATTTTATCTTCCCTCGTAAAGACTGCAGACGTTACTGTTCTATAAGAGAGACAAACTTATTAATTTTACGCATTTAATGTTATAAACTAAATAAACAGAATTGAATATTAATTAGGAAAAAACTTGCTCTGTATACATACTCAGTGTGACCTTGAAATACCGAAACCGAGTGGATTGATTCTCTAAAATCCCACAATCGAAATGTATTGTCTCTACTGGACGTAACACACAATTTTTGCGTGTGATGAGTCGACACGTGAGTTAATTCTTGATCGTGTCCGCATAGTGTGTGTATAATCTCCCCGGTTTCCGTGTCATACAAATTTGCTGTTCTGTCCCAAGAAGCTGTGACTAACTGTTCAGCACCAGAGAGCCAATCTGCAGCCATTACAACGTTCGTATGACCCAAAAGTTCGCGTATCGGTGTCCTCAGAGTCGGGGGATCGTCTTGCTCATCGTTATTACTGATTAGATTATTAGCAGTAGCTCGTTCGGAACTCGCTACTGGAAGTTCTTCTAACGACGATACTCTTTTCGACATATCCCAATCGACAGCTGCTTGCCACACGTGAGCGGAACAGTCGCCACTCGCCGATAAAGCTAATTCTCTATTTGGATGAAATCGAACCGAATTCACGGATCCATTGTGACCAATATATTGTAATAAACATCGACTATTATCTATTGCCCATATACGTGCTGTATAATCAGCAGAAGCAGTCGCTATGATGAGTTGACCTAATCTGCCGACGGATACCTCCCACACACCATCTCGATGACCCATATACTCTTTTTGCATAGTGCAATTCATAGATGGAGTTTTAAAGCTTGATACTATTTTACTAGTCTGTGCTTTTAATTTGTGAGAAGTTTTAATTTTTTGCGCCGAGTTTGCACCCATTGCTACAAAATAAAGAAAAATTCTTATTACAATCCAAGAATTGAATATATAACGTAATAAAATTATTGAGTTTTAAAAAATCATTACCATATACTAGCTACGTATTCTATCTTTTGTATCATTCTTATTAAATCTCCTGGAATAGATAGATGAATGGAAGAATACGTCATAAAATTATATAATGAAGATAATAAATAGGAAATATTTATATAAAATATTTAAAGCTGTATGGCACTTATAAAACTAAATAAAAAACACATAAATTAAATTGTCAGAAATGAAAATAATTTAAGAAAATAATTTCTAGTGTAGTATAATGAATACTATGATCTGAATGTTATATTTCTCTAATAGTCTTCTAAGTGGTAATTTGAACTTTCTTGAATCATTCTTTTATAATGTAACACACAAATTAAAATATATTTTTATATCAATATTGACGTTAATATTATAATAATCTTACATTTTTGCTTAGATAGATTTTTTGTTTCTGGATAATCCGTAAGATCTCCTGGAGGTAAACTGCGCTCGCCTGATCCATAACATTCTCTTTCGAGTCTTTCATTTAGGATGTCGATCTTCTCTTGCACTGTAATGAGAAATTCAATATAACAGCTATATTAAATGGCGAAATAAATAATTAAATAAATAAATAATGGTGAATTTGATTGCTTGCATTACATTAGATTATTATTTTTATCAAAGGTTACTTGATATAAATTATCTCTCTAAATACAGTGGCATAGTATAGGTAATCAATTTTCAATGAAATAATACATATACAATCTGTTAAATAACGTGACACTATCAAGTAAGTTTAATCGTTAAAAATATTTATCTTTATATGTCTTTACATTTAATTTTGCTAATTTTATATATATATATAAAACAACTTTTAGTATATACTAATCTAACATAGCACAAGTGACTGAATTTGTCACAAAAAATACTTACACCCAAGATTTTCTGTATACAACATTTCAAATTCTTTTTCAATTTGCTGAAAGAGATCATACAAACGGCATCGCACAGCCGATGGGATGGGGCTGTCCTCTAACTCCGAACGAAAGGTGACATAGTGCAACGCAGTGGGTTGCAGTGGGGTCGAACCGCTCTGACTCTGTTGAGACTGTAGTTCTGTGTCGGTACTGCTTTGCACACGAGGTATAGAGATCCTCTTTGCCTTGCTACTGGATTTACTTCCAGCTGTGGCTGGTGGTTCGCCGGGCATGACTCGTCACTTAACAAAAATAACATAAACAGACGAGCATGTCCCAGTACTTCGTCCCTACAGCATACATCACCGATTGGTCCGACTTTAGCGCAGAAATACAGTCCGCATCATTAATCTGTATGCATACCATTCACGACCTATCAACAGAATACATCAATTAAATTAGAAGTATATATGTACATTTATAAATGTACTGTCACGATCGGAGTTTGACATATAGTCGCTAACTGTCATTTCATTATTATAAGTTCTCCACGTCCTGATAAGACTCACGAAAGTTATTGTACATAGAATCTGAAAATTATATGTGAATAACTAAAGATGACTAGCAGTAGGACTAATGAACCGAATTTAACTATAGACAATTTCTCAAGAATATAATATGACACAATATTCGACTACCTTCTCGCTTAAGGTTTACTTAGAAAGAGAACTGGTGTTAATGCTGTTATGTTGGAGTATTCTTATAATTTATAATGCTCGACATCTAACTTTTCGTTGTATTGTCGTGATAATATATTATACTCGCGAATCTGATTATTTAATTGTAATACTGAAGATAATCTAATCTAAGGTCGAAACGTCTATTTATCTAATTGCTACATGTTTAAAAATATAAAATATTAACTGATAACACATTTTGCGTTGTGGTATATGCCGTTAAGAAATTTGTTGTTTTAAAATTTGATCACGTATCGACTTTTATTGTTAAATTAGAATTATGATCAGCGAAATGTTGAATGACATTCTCGACCTTCTGTTAAATTGGCTGCCATTAATCAGCGTATTCTTATCTCTGTTGTGAATCACGATAAACGCAAACGTCAAAGTTAGATTTCGAATTCGAATAAAAACATCTTGCCCCCGAATTTTCGAGATCTTCAGATGCACGAAAGATGTGATCGGACCAGGTAAAACAACAAGATCTAGTGCGTTTCTATCGAGGAATTTCTCGTAATTAATTGCCGTCAGGTGTGACAAATGTGTTTCCATATAATTTTATACGCATGATTTCTAACACTGATCCACTGTTCTCATATTTTATTTCTTTAAGCGATACCATCACGCAACTGCTTCCGAAATCATGAAAAATCGCGCTGCGACTCAAAAGAGAAACAAGAATGTATCTAACATGACACATATGATATGAGTTTACTCCAGTTTACTCCCTCGAGATTGGAGACCACGTATTGGTTGTTCAAGTAACGAGACAATCGATCGAGAATTAACCGAACGGGACGAGATTAATTATGATACTCGCCGCTAATTTCGCGCGTCTTTTCACGCTGATGATGTTCAATGATGTTACCGAATGAAAATTTACATCTGCAATGTCGCATTTATTTTCGGCGCTTTGTGGCACCTCTTTCTTCCTCTACACCTCTGGTCTACACCGAACACCATGTTTATTACATTTTACACATGCAGGGGATGCATTTACAAAGAACTGCGTACGATGAAGCGGTAATGAGTGTAATATTATGCCGAATTCAGACTATGTTCGATATTTAACAAACGTTTAAAATATCTAATGGAAGAATCGGTCTTGACTGTGTTCCAAAATTCACTGCTAGCGCTGAAAATCTACAGTCTGTGTCACATGTACTATACATTTACAGCGCTAAGAGTGAATTTTGGAACACAGCCTTTGTAATGCGGGGTCTACAAGAGAGTGTAGAATTGAAGTCGTAGCGATCGTAGGATCTTAAGTCGAAGAAAATTAATCAATCACAGTCGAATATGAGAAGAATAATCGACTATAATTGGTCAATTTTCTACAATCCTACAACCGCCATGATTTCTATTGTAAACTCGACATTAAGCTGGTTTCATATTAGTTGCAAGCTGATCGCAAGTTTGTTGCGACAGCCAATATGAAGCGTTGATTTCAAAATGCAAGCTTCAGATTGGCTGTCGCAACAAATTTGCGATTGGCTTACAACTAATGTAGAACCGGCTTTAGGGAATCCTGATAATTATCCAATATTGACAATCAATCTTCTGCCTGTGTTATGAAATAATCATATTCATGAAACGCTACCTTAAAGTCATCTGTGTATCAGCTTTAAAAACACCTCGAAAAGTTTCCCGCCGAAACTGACGATTTCGGCGGCGTGATACGGCGTGACACTTTTGTTGATTTACTTTCGTTCGCTTATTATATTATAACCCTCTTTAAATAAGTGTTTTGAATAAGTGGCTGGTGCTGGTATTGCCGGTAAATAAGTAGCTCACGCAAAATGGAGGGTTTCGACGATCCAGGAGTATTCTTTTCTGACAATTTCGCGGTGGAGAACGAAGTTCACGAGAACCGCGTGAATCTTCAACACTCGAAAAAGAAATTCAAAGAGTTCATCCGACAGTTTCACGAGGGTAACTTCAACTACAAATATCGGTAATGAAGAAAGATTAGATATTCTTTTCACCTGCAGTTCACCTTCCATCTGACGTTTCAGTACCGTTTAATTTTTTCTTCAGGGACACCTTAAAGCGCAATTACAATCTCCGTCAATACTGGATGGAGATCAATCTCGAGGATTTAGCAGCTTTCGACGAGTCCCTCGCGGAGAAAATCCAAAAGCTTCCAACAGAGTACTTATCCGTTTTAGAGGAAGCTGCAAAGGATGTTGCTGACGAGCTAACAGCACCTCGACCTGAAGGCGAGGAAAAGATGGAAGACATTCAGGTCTTGTTATGTTCAGATGCTCATCCGAGCTCCCTGAGGGGAATGAAGGTGATGTTATAATTCTCATGTTGTATAGAAATAATAAAATTCAGAAACTTGCATAAAGTTTCACTGTCATCAATTTATAGATTATTGACAAATACATTTAGAAAGAAATCTTGGATTCTTAGAATAAATACAGTGTTCCATGATAAAACTGACAGAATGTATTCTAGAATTCATTCTAAGCAAAATAATTCATATACACTGTAAGTATATGAATTAATTATCAAGATTTAAAGAGCTTCAGTAATACAAATTTACTAATTGTAATCAACGTAGCATCTTTCAACTTCTTTTTGTAGAATTTGAAGTCTTGTATTTGGAAACAGTAATTGGAAACAGAGTAGTGTCTCTGTGCTAAGACAAATATATGTCATAGTCAAAGTATAAGTGTATACACTTACTGGTCAATGACTACATTTATATAGGAACAGATTACAGTAAGTATATATTTAAGTATTTATTTATTGAGTTAACACTTTGACTATGACATAATATTGACAATAAATTCAGAATTTAACAGAATAATTGAGGTCATAAATCAAGTACAAACAACATTTGCATTAAAATTAATCAAATTAATTAGCAATAATTTATAAAAAAAATCACATGTTTGCAAGCAAAAAGATAGACATTTTGAATAATTAATATAATTAGAAATCAGTTGTTTCATCTTTGAATAAACTATATGGTATTTAGCTAATAAATGAAAGAAAGAACAAAAGAGAGAGGAAAAAAGTAACAGTGGAACAATCCAACCTAAAAGAATAATAGTCATATAAAAATTATAAATGTTTATATTTTTGTTTGTAACAATATTAATAAAATTGTATCTTGATAATTGATATAAATTGACCTATAGTGTACACTATATACATTTTTGCTTAAAACGAACTCAATAATATATTCTCGTAGTTTGTTGGTTTTCTCGCAAAACGTTCTGTATAATTTAAAACTGATTTTAATGTAACTGCTTCACTTGCAGCCAGATATTGTTTCAAAGCTCATAAAAATTCCTGGTATAATTGTTTCTGCATCTGGCATTAGATCAAAAGCGACAAAGATAGCAATACAGTGCCGTTCTTGCAAGGTCACTCAAGTCAATATTCCTATCAAGCCTGGTCTAGAAGGATATACGCTACCCAGAAAATGCTCCACGTGAGTCTCCTTTTCGAAAGTACTTTATTACTAGCTTTATAATATATCACACAATTTTTATCTATTATTAGGGAACAAGCTGGTGTAGGACCAAAGTGTCCCCTGGATCCTTTCTTTATAATGCCGGATAAATGCCACTGTGTAGACTTTCAAGTGTTAAAGCTTCAGGAGTTGCCGGATCATATACCGCAGGGTGAAATGCCCAGACATTTGCAGTTATATTGCGATCGGTATTTATGTGACAGAATTGTACCTGGTAATAGAGTTCTGATTCTGGGAATATATTCCATTAAGAAAGTATCTAAGACAGGTGGCAAAGGTACAGGCAAGGAAAAGACATTAGTAGGCGTTCGAGCTCCATATATTCGCGTTCTTGGTATCTCTGTAGATGGAGAAAATACCAACATAGGTACTGGCGTAATAATAATACACAAATGAAACATTTAAAATATCAGTTAGTAATTTGTATTAATTTCTTTTTTTTTGTATTTTCTATGCAGGAACTCAGCCGCCCGTTACGTCTGAAGAGGAAGATCTTTTTACCCGTTTAGCAGCAGATCCTAATCTGTACGAGAGAATCGCGAAGAGTATAGCTCCTAGTATTTTTGGTGCAATAGATATCAAAAAAGCTATCGCGTGTTTACTGTTTGGTGGTTCGAGAAAATTAATGCCAGATGGCTTGTGTAGGAGAGGTGATATTAATATTTTAATGCTAGGTGATCCGGGTACCGCTAAGTCGCAGTTGTTGAAATTTGTAGAAAGAGTTGCTCCTATAGCTGTTTATACGTCGGGAAAAGGTAGTTCCGCAGCTGGTTTGACAGCGTCTGTATCGAGAGATCCAGCAACTGTAAGTTACATTCTTGGTAAACATTTTTTACATTTGCAATTTTTATAATTAGTTAATTAATTACATAAATTTAATATAAATATTTTACATATATATACGACAGCAACTATCGCTATTTTCAGAGAAATTTCGTCATGGAAGGTGGCGCGATGGTTCTCGCGGATGGTGGAGTTGTTTGCATAGATGAGTTCGACAAAATGAAGGAGGATGATAGAGTGGCGATACACGAAGCTATGGAACAACAAACGATCTCTATAGCAAAAGCAGGAATAACGACAACTCTGAATACACGATGTTCTGTGTTAGCAGCAGCGAATTCAGTCTTCGGCCGCTGGGATGATATAAAAGGAGAAGAGAATATAGATTTTATGCCGACAATATTGTCACGTTTCGATATGATATTTATTGTTAAAGATGAGCATGAACACAACAGGGATATAACATTAGCTAAACACGTTATGAACATTCACTGTAATGCTGGCCAGATCACAGAACAATCGGTAGAGGGAGAAATTCCTGTACACATTCTCAAAAAGTATATAAACTATTGCAGAACGTAAGTTTGCTGTATCTCTTATCACGTATAATGTATAACATTTTGTAAAGTACGTTTTTCTCTAAATTTTTTTTTTTTTTTTTTTTTTTTTTTTTTTTTTTTTTTTTTT